ATCTAGAAAAACATCACCAGATAGACGAATGATGGCTCCGGGGTCATCAACTCGACAGCTCCATACTGTGCAGGGAAATGCTCGCCCTCACCGACGCGCCAGATCCAACATTGAAAGAATCCGCCAGCACCATCCCAGGCGCATTCAGCACGTCCGCAAAAGCAACCTCGACAACACCCGTCTCGACCTCCTTGTTCAACAGCGAGATTTTCACGTCCGGGGGATTCTCAATCATGTCCTTTGTGATGGGCACGCGGAACGCTTGGTCGAAGGAGGGGTTGAAGATGTCGGTACCGGGTGTGTACGATTTGACGGCGGTGCGGAACTCCTTTGCTCCCCACGAGACCTTGACGCTCGGGTTTAATTCATCGCGTTGACCCTGGAGCCCGAGGGCGCTGGCGACGAGGATTGTGACGAGACCGCAAATCTGGCCCTCGCCTTCTATTTGTTGGGCGTTGAGGGCCGAAGGTTCGCTAGTGAAGTGGTAGAACTTTGCGTGGAGGGATATGCGGGCGTTGGTTGGCTCGTCCTTGTGCGTCAAGGGGAGCTCGGTTGAGCCGCCGGCGAGGAGGAGCGATTTGAGGACGATGGAGGCGATTCCGATGTCGTCGTCGGCGCCGAGGTCATCGTCCTTGACGTCGAGCGTGATGGCCTGGTCGTAGTCGGCTACGAGGAAATCGTGGGTTTCGTTCCATTCCGGGTCGTGGTCGTTCTTGATGGTTGACGTGCGCCACTCTTCTTCGGCACCGAGATTGACTTTGCAGTAGCAGTCGGGGATGTCTTTGACGATTTTGGCGAGTAGCCGCTTTGCGCTACTCTTTTTGGGTCCTGTGATGCCCGTTGCTTTCCCGACGGTTACACGGACGACGCCGAGGTGAGGCTGGTACGTTTTGAAGTAGTCACTTGAAGCGTCAAGCTTGACAAGGAAGCGATTGGGTAGAACGGCCATGCCCCCAATGATGCCTAGGATGGTCTTGCGGACGGTGTTGGCCACTATGGAGCAATCGGCAATGTTTGCGGCATCAGTGAAATCGAGCTGGAGCATGGGAGGGTTGATGAATGAAACTTGTGCGGCACCAATCTGCACATCTTGTTAGTACACAATCCATAAGTAATATACATGCTTGGTGGGGCGCTCACGAGAGGAATGATGTCTGTCAGAGGCCCAAGTAAAACAGACAATCTACCTTTCAAATGCACGCGCTCTATGCCCTATGAATATGTTAGCAACTTCTCCATTTCCATTTCCTGATCTCCAAAGCCTACCATTTTCGGAACCATCTTGCCATCAAGCTCGATGTCGCTATGGCTCTCCCAGGTCACGTCCATGTCTAACTTGATTCCGCCGGTAGAAGTTTTGTGGACATCAACTTCTGACAACCTGAAAGGAGCATGTCCAAGATCAAGCTTGACAAACCGCAACGAAGACAGTGGACCGGGGAGCGTCGAAGCCAAGATGGGCTCGACGATTTCCTTGATCATGCGGCATCCGGCAATGTTGATGTTGGGCCAGAGCTGCTCGACAATATCGTTCAGAAACCCTGTTCGTGGATGGCGATTAGCTCTTGCTGGTGATCTAGATATTTCAGGATGCTAAGGGATGGAGCTCACCTGCGGATTCTGTCCCACCAGAGGCTGTCAATTTGTCAACGAGTGATGCCATTCTGAGTACGCGGGTGCACAAAGCAAGCTTGCTAATGAGTTGTGTAGCTGAGGAGGGGGTTGGTAGAGTCAATTGAAGCTACGACGACAACAGCGGACGGAAGCTGAGACGTTTATATACTAATGTAGGCGGGGCAAAACTTGGTTTGGATGCATTACTTCAATAGTTATCTACAGGGGGAAAAACCCGCCAGAGCTTGATATTTTTGGTTCGGCTAAGCAAACACGATAATAGCTACGTTTGCTTTTACGATCTTGTGAAGCGCAGCAGCATCTTCACAGGCGCGGGGGCCCGCCGCTGACGTAGGTCGCTTGATCGCGGTGGGTAATTCACCGCTAAACATGCATTGACACGAATGCCTAGCTTGGCGGAGCGGCTTGTTTCATGAGGTGTGGGTTGTTCAAGATGAATGGTACGGTAATGATGCTTGCTGTTTGTGTGGTGCTGTGACGCCTCATCGATGGTTGGCATCGCAGAGCTGACAACGAAATTTGAAGCGATTGTACGTTTCAAACAAATTGAACGAGTTGCTTGGGAAGGATTCAGGGTAAACTTGATTGAAGCTATAAATAAACCCGAGGAGTAAAGAAGTGGCTCACCACGTCTGTGGCTGGTTCAGCCACATCGGTCCACTTTGAATGCCTCACGATGAAACGTAACATGCCAATATACAATTACTGCTATCAGCATATTGACAGTGACAAGAGATTATAGAGTACCCGTGATCATGGTGAATATATGAAAACAATGTCCAGCTAAAGCTCATGTACACAAACTTCCATGGTGAAATCTGTGATGCTTGAACAGCGCTCTTGATGAACAATCAGACCTGAATATCTCCTCCTAGAATTATCACTACGTCAAAATCACCAGCTACAACTAAAGAAGGAGCTTTTCCATAGATCCTTCAAGCTCACCAGAACTATTCAAACTCTGCGTCGATTGTAAAATCAGAATACATCCATGGCTTGAAAAAAAGTTGCGAATGCATGGGAAATACAGAATCACTGCTAGTATTTGACTAGTACCCAGAAACATGAAATCCCACTTCAATCCTGAACTCCTGTTCCCAAAACCCATAACTCCGAACTACATGGTGAATCGGTCAAAGCAAACCATGGCGGCAATGACGCTTTTAGGGAGTTTGAAGGTCCTCGCGACAGACAGGACACAACGGCGACGTAGTCATGCTAGTGAATAAGCAAGCCTTCCCGTAAAGGTGACCACAGGGCGTTCTGACAGGGTCATTCCGCCGCTCCTTTGGAATTGAACTTAGGAACTCCTCATCGGCGTCTGCCCAAGGGCCGGCACCCTCTTTGTTCCAGTCACTTGTACCGAATTTGTTCCAGCAAAATGGGCATCGAAGTAGATGAGGTTCAATACTCGCGATATCGACTTCTTCGAGGGTATTGATAAACGCCATAATATTCGAGCGGTTTGGTTCATATATGTCTATGGATTCCTCGTCGTCGAAATCAACGCTGTTTGCGTTCGGTGGTACTGGCGCGATGATTTCCAAGATGTTTTTCGTGAAATTTCCTATCCACTCCCTGATTTCAATATAACCATGTCCAGCTGCTTTAAGGAACTCGGCATGTCCCATAGTAAGTATCGCAATATTTATGCGCTCTGTGAAGTGCTTGTTCTGTTCGAGGACCCCTTGAGTGTCGATACAAATCTTCCCATGAAGCACCTCCGGTTGATATTCCGGAACGAAAATGAAGAAATCCCTCATCTTTTCAAGGCTCAAGCCTAGCATGACTTTGTGCATCAGGCTTCGCACCTTCTTCTCGACGGGATGTTCGTATTCATGGGGTCCAAGATTGTATAGTTCCGCACATGCTGACTTGAAGTCGTCAATTTCAAACAGCCCCATAGCAAGACTGTCGCTTTCTCCAATGATGATATCGCACTGGTGCATGAGCGCATCAATGGTGTCATATTGAGAGAAATCGGTGTTTTTCCTGAATTGGTATTCCTCCATAACTTGAGGATGTGCCTCAGGTCGGGGCCGAAGGTCGGGGTCGGAAGCCCAATGTTGGGTCCTGAGGTTGAAAACAAAGTTGAGTGCTGAAAAGTTCGGCCGTGTAAAGGGCGTGAGACTCGGCAACTGGGGCCTGGGTCTGCTTAAACGTGGTTTAGAAATGTGGCTGAGGGCGGGGTTGTGGTTAAGGTAGAGATCATTTTTTGGGTTGAACATGATGCACACGATGTGGTAAAAGCACGGTCCTGCGTACTGGGAAGGCACCTATCACGTGGTCTAACGATATGCTTGGCGCTGTACTACATACGGGTTGCCTTCGATCTCTGTGCATATGTAAATGTGTATGACATTACTAGGAGAGCCGTTGAATCATTTACTCCTAAAATCTTCCACAATCCTTGGCGAATGGTTAACCTACACCCTTGACCGATGTGTTACCGAGGAGCAGGACTGTGTATACATATATGCAATGCCTGTCGTGGATTCATTTGAGTCATCGCGAGTCGCCACTGCCTCCACGAATCCTGCGATCAAGCTCACTTCATGTCCACATAGGCTCTAAAGTAGATTTAGAACATCGCGAGAGCAAGTAGAGACAGCTATCCGTATAATCTATATACCTAATGCGCTTGATTAAAAAACAGTAAATGCAGAATAAACAGGCAATTAGTTCACTAATGGTATGAGCATCTAGCATATATAAAATGCTGTTGCTTTATCAAGGCTGCTATTATACGACATCTGGAACTCTTTAATAAAACATTTTAGCAGTATCTAGCTGCAAGATACGGAGAATTACAGTCTGTATATTGTATAAATACGAATTAGAGCAAGTCCTAATCGGAAAACCTAGAGGAGAAACACCAAGCTTGCTAATATCAGTACACCTTAGTATGTATCTAAATGTACGAACATCCCTGGTACTTCGCCAGTTGGAAATGCGTGCATCGACTTGGAATAAATAACCTAATGCCTAATGCTAGACGCGTTTAAATTCTAGCAGGCCAGTTTCTATAATTAGATTTCATTTGTTGAGAAACAATCTAGTAAAGCCTCTGGGACTCTATAGGCATACCTCAAGTGCTGTGCAGATATATAGGTAGTAGCAGCGGGGCGGGGGCGCTGATTTCCTATTCGCTTAATTCTAATAGCACGAGCAGGGCCCCACTCGAGCCTAACCTTGTAATAGTTGAAGTTCTAGTGTGTCCATCCCTAAGTCGTGCGGCGGGGTGTCATTCCAGCGACGTAGATGGCAAATTTTGCAAATTACTTCCTTACCTCAGTTCTTAATCCATGTATATATGAATAAAAATCCCGACATTTTTATATCTACTCCGTACCGCAAGGTAAATAGCTGGCATGGTCTAGTGGTATGACGTTCGCCTCACAAACTGACATACAAGAATGTGTGCGCGACAGGTCCCGAGTTCGATCCTCGGTGCTAGTATTTTTTTTTGTCGAAATCTTTTCCCTCCTGATGGTACGTACGTATGGGCTAGAATTATTTTGTTTTCCGCTCACTCGTACATCCCTTGAAATTAATGCAGAGCAAGTGAAACCCATTTTTTTCTGGGCGTAAGCAATAAATTTTGGTGATCCACAGGAGATGCATTGGTAGTGAGCAAGAAAATGATTAGCAGCATAGCACGCAGAAACGCACAACTATGTATCAATATAACAAGAAGTAAATTGAGCACCACGTGAGATCGCGCTAAACTCTGGCATCGAGACGGGTGGGTAGTGGGGTAGTTATTACCCCGCAGACTGTTCCTGTGTTTCCAAACACTCGATAAAAAAATTCACTGCGCTCACCCAACCTGCCCCCAAAACAACTCCCTCGCGAGACATCATGTCATCCTCACAGTACAATCTCGTTGTCCTCATTTCCGGCAATGGCTCCAATCTACAAGCCCTCATCGATGCGTGCGCGTCCTCAACGCTCCCTAATACGCGCATTACACACGTAATTTCAAAGTACGCTGTTCGCTCAAACACATCCGAGCACCAAAATGGAATGCTGACACACTTGGACAGTCGCAAAGCTGCCTACGGTCTGGAACGTGCTTCAAAGGCTTCAATACCCACGACCTACCACAACCTCGTTACGTACAAGAAGAGGTATCCACAGGACGAACAAGGCACCGCAAAAGCCCGCACTGAATACGATGCCGACTTAGCAAGGATTATACTGGATCTCGTACCTCGCCCAGATATTATCGTCTGTGCAGGGTGGATGCACATCCTCACTCCCGAATTCCTCAATCCAATCGCTAATGAGGGCGTCAAAGTTATAAATCTACACCCGGCATTGCCTGGCGAGTTTGCGGGTGCAGGTGCGATTGAGAGGGCTTGGAAAGCTGGCAAAAAGGGAGAAATACAGCGCACAGGTGTGATGATTCATGAGGTTATTGCTGAAGTAGACGCCGGTGATGCGATTGTCACGCAGGAGGTGCCGTTGCGAGAAGGAGAGTCACTGGATGACCTTGAGGAAAGAATACATCAAGTTGAGCACGGCCTTATCATAGAGGGGACAAAGAGGACGCTAGAGAAGATCAAGAAATGACTATGCAAGCAAGACAGAAACTAAGAACAGATATGGGTAGTGGCGGAGAAGGCATTCCTTCAAAGTTGTTGTACCAAGAAGGATCCTCACAGCAAACAAATACCCCCATGTGGTACCGGGCCTGTTAACTCTTCGATTGTTGTAGCCACATCGACCAAGAGGAATCAGGCAATTTGCTTATAAGCGAAGGATTGAGACCGGGGTCAGCGGTAATCAGATGTCATCAAATAGAGGCACGAACCTTTCTCCATACAGCTTCTATAACTGATTTAATCACACGATTTCCGGAAGCCTTCAAAGAGGCGCATCTGAGTCGTACGAAATCCTTGGGCAAGGTCACCAAACACCAAGGTGGTGACTAAATCAGGCTTCTCTTCCAAATTTTCAACTGTATACTCTATCTACCCAGTGTCCTTTGAGCGATGGACAGGGAGAAATTAAAGAACGTCTATTTATAAAACAAAAATCCGCGATCTAGTACACCGCTACGACAAACTATCTAGATGTTGCTTAGTATGTGGAAGGATTCATAATCGGATCTTGCATCGCCGACTCGTATGGCCCCTGCACGACATTTGAAGTTCCACAAATCCCAGTTGGTTGCTCGAATCCATAATAAGTATCAAACAAAGGAAACTCAAGATCGTTGTATCGCATTAACAAAACCTATCGAGGGTACTTTAGAATTCCCATTTACGGCTGGATATATTGTTGGTTAAATAGTGGGAATTAACTATCGTTATTCGACTTTTGCTTACGGAATGAGGCTGTTACATTTTCTCCATCTTACCTCAGATACCATGGCGGATAGGATGCACCCTATCTCGATCCTTACAATAGTTTATACCTAAACCTAATTCCCTTATCATCTCATTTACATGGGGCCGAAAATGAGTCTAGCTGCTCTATGTGACAACTCGGGACTGCTCGCGCGGTTCAGATATGGAAATTGGTGATGGAAGCCTACGAAAGTTGCCGCCCCAAGCTTTCCAACAAGCCTAACCTCAAACAAGCCCTGTCAGCCTAAACACTTTGACCCTGATGATAATGATCTATTATCTCAATAAGTCTCTGAGTTTCACGTATAAATATCGTAAGAAGAACCCTCCATTCTGTTCTTCAGGCGACTTTTCAATTCCTTTCGTCTAGTCCAATTCTCACACTCAACCATCATCAAGATGCAATTCTTCACTACCATCACCCTTCTTGCCACCGCAGGTGTTGCGTTTTCCTCGCCTCTCGAGGCTCGTGCCAACACTTGCTTTGATGGTAGGGCACCGGTGTGTTTATTCGCAACCAACCCCAACATTGGCCGAATCGACAAATCTTCTGCTATCACTGCGATCGAGCAGGCTTGCAACAAGCTCCCTACCTGCGTTCTCGGTACTTCATACAGCCCTGTGCAAGGCAGAATTCCTGGCTACACCGCCACTCTCACTGTCGGCAAGCAGTGCGCTGGTGTGACTAACTGGAGCCTTTCCACCTGCACTGCTCTCTTCCTGGAGAGCATCGATGCCAAATGTGGCGGCCCCAGTGACACCTACTTTTACAGTAAGTTTATGATATTCCTACAATGTAGACGGAGAAGAGGCTAACCATGGATAGCTGGATATACTCGCTCTGTCTGCGATGACACGTTTGTTTCCTTCAATCTCGGAGGTTAAATGTTCGGTTGATGTACAGATGGAGTAAGGCTTTGATGGGATGAATGGTAGTGAAAGGGCTTGTCAGAACTTTGGTTTAAAACTCTGTTACGAGGAAGGCTTCAGGCTTAGAGCATTGGGACTTTCAGATCCAGTGTTTCTGATATGCTCTGGGGGTATTGGCAAAAAACCACCTGCATCTAGAATATCAAAAGTGATTTCTCCATTCAATTTCCGCAAAACTATCTTTACTTGTGTTAAGGAGCCTTACGCTCTACGTGATATCGGTACGTTTTCGCCATGAGAACAAACACTCACACCCCAAGAAGACTGACAACATTACAGGATTTTGATCAAAGCATGAAGAGATCTACCTTCAACCAAAATAAAGAAAAAACTAAACTTATAGTCACGAAAAGGGCGGGTTACCCAAAAACCCGAAACAGATCTCGTGGACATCATGACCAATGATTTAGAGAGCTAATTAAAAGATTCCACCGATAGTTGATATCACTGTCCTTCTACTAACGACATTGACCCATCTCGGGGTGACCGAGTTGTACAACCGATAGAAAACGCCATTTGTCAAGTTGAAACCTGTAATAAAGGCCATTTTTAGAGAAATTACTAACTTGAAAGCGAAGCCTGTACTTCTCGTAAGTCCGGGGCGCACAAACCATCTTACACTTCATCAGGCAGTACCACAAACAACGCCACCCATACAAAGAAATCGAAAGATTCCAAGAACTGGATGAAGTCTACCAAAAATTATTCGAGGTACAAAAAATTCATGTCTGCTGATGTCGATCTCAGCTTCATCTACATATATAAATAAGAAACACATCACCTTTACATCAATCCAACAAACCCTACTCAATCCACACACTCTTCTCAAACAGCGTCAACGCTCCAACAACTCGATAAAACCCAACCGAAAGACTATACACCATGCGCATCACTGCCATCCTGACCCTTCTCGTATCGAGCGTCGTCACTCTGGCCGTTGTTCCTAGGACCAACACATGCTTCAATCCGAGCGAAGGCGCCTGCATGGGCTACCACGCCGATACTGCAAACGCTACGCTCGCAATCACCAATGCATGCAACCAGGTCAAGAGCTGCACGCCCGGACAGACGGATTATAATCGCCGTCGTTACCGAGGTACGTATTTCTCCATTGACTCTTTTCGAAATACTACGTCGGTGATTTGAGTTTGAGAGCGGTAAGGTGGTGATAGGCCAAGAACCTGACTTGGATAGGCATTGTCAAGGGCTTCCCATACACTGCTGTGTTGTACGTGGGGGATCAGTGCGCGGGCGTCACTAACTGGAGCACCGATGCTTGCATCGCCCTGTTCAATGAATTCGTGGATGATCGATGTGATCAGCAGTATTCCATTCCTGCCGACAAGTATCAATGTAAGTTTGTGCCTCCGTTGCTGCTAGAGACATCTGTCTCCCTGCGAGGCAGGAATGTATTCGTGTACTGATGCGTTGTAATTCTTGTAGTGGGCTATATAACTGCGCCATGCGATAACAGCTTTGTTTCCTTCAACTTTGGCGGTTAGACGGGGCGGAAGAGATTGAGATATAGAACAGGTGACACAAGAGGAAAGATTCGAGGATGGGTTGAGATGGAGACTGGAATGCTTCATGATATTTTACACTAGTGGTGCCCACTCGAGGTAGTTGAAACTCTAGATCAACTACCCTAAACTATAATCAGAGAAAAGAAATGAAAAGAAAATGTGCCTTGTTTAACACCGTGATGTTGTTGTTGCCGATCGCTCATGCCTCGGCCGTTGAGGGTAATTCAGTCCCCAAATAAAATGATGTACCTCCCACCGTCCAATCCCCAAATGCCCTTTGTCCCATTTTAACACCGATGCACGTGAATCTCATTACGCATTGAATCTTGCTGTCCATGTATTTACACTGTCACTATTACGATCTCGCTCCCGGCGAGCTTCCAGTACCAGGTTCATCCAATCGCGTGTATTCTGCAACGCAAGCACAGTGGCCATTAGGAGTGCAGTTCCCGCAACTCACGTCCATGGTAGTGTCGGGGGTACGGTAACCTGTGAAATCGATTTCCATTACTGTTGAATCCTTGCGAGAGAACTGGCTTTGGAGAACTGCTGCAGCTTCAGCTAGTGAAGCCTGTGACGTCGTCGAGTGTTGATTTCTCCAAAAATCCCTCTCGCGGGCAGTTGTGGCTTGGAGTTCCCGGGCTTGCTGCAA